ATACTAGATTTGTTTAAATTAGAATGACTCTGCCAGTATTATATATCTAAATGCAAACTTGACTCGAGTGCACATAGAAATACTCCTCCTTGGTGTCAGTGAGAGATTTCACCTGACCAAGGTTGAGATTTTCACCACAGCACATGTATCAAAACACTTTTAAACACCAGACTCCCTGGCTAACTCTACATTAGCAAATACTTCAGTGCAAAAGCAGTAGTTCAATATTATGATGCCATTAGTGCTGATACACTAGATGAAATGTTCTCACCATGCAGTTTGTTCAAAGTTGTCCGAATAGAAGCTGTGACACATAACTGTGGCTTTCTTGACCACAAGATCCTTCACCCTAGGAAACTCCATACCATCCTTTTGTCTGTCTCATAGAGAAGAGAGAAGCACGTCACTGCCCTGTCTCCTTACAGTCTAAAATTGAAAAGTGGCTTTATTTCTGCTCCTGCTAATTTCTGGCTGACACCATGATGCTGGTTGCCAAACTCTGCTGCCACTCTAAGTTTGATCAACATCCAAAGGTCCCGCTGAAGGGACTAATGAAGTCCTGGAGCCATGGAAACAAATCCAGGAGGACACTGTGATGGCAGTGTCACTGGATTTTCTTTCAAATGAAAAACCGGACATGAAGGATGGGATGCCTTACTGCTGTGACTGTTTTGCTGATGGTCAGCTGGACTGCTTGATATATGCTGGAGGATTTGGAGAACTTCAGGATGGTGCAAGCTAGTCATCATTGAGACTTGTGTCTTCATTAGGTATTGAAACATGTTTAGTTTGTGCCCAGAGTGGCTTTCTAGTTTCAAGGTTCTCCAAAATGAATCTTGATTTTCATGCACCATAATGACTCTGCAAACTGAAGCAATACTCAGAAAGTGGGGAAGATCAGGGGATTCACTTCAGAACTAACTATGTTTTGAGCCAAAATGTTGATGCCTGTGCAACGTCTAGGCGCTTTTAAAATCCATCACTAATTTTTTATTTCTTGCAAATAAGAGGCTCAGATATGGTTCCTTAAATAACTATGATTTAAAAACCCTCTTGTTATCCTTGTTTCTTGTAGACAATGGTGCAATGTATTTTCTCAAATTGTTATTGGCAATCTCTACACAAAAAATTATACAAACTGGTCTGACTTTTTTACGTTTGGGCAGCCTTCCCAAAGCACAGCGTTAAGGAATCAAAGCAGGGATGCAGATGTAATTCATCCTAATTTTAAGGCTGTGTTTCACTGCCGGAGAAGTGTAAAGCTGATATGTTATAGTAAATGAGAGTTGTGCCAAAGACTTATTTGAACTGTGACATTTTGTGTGTCAGCTAGTTACTGGGTTTGACTTGTCAGCCACCACCCACCCAGCTGATTAAAGATAGAAGGCACAGTAACACTGCCACAAACATAATGTACTATCTTTACACTAAGTTTTATTTTGGGAACCTTATAGGGACATACTGCATGTTCTATGATGTACTGTACATATTTGTTTTTTGATTCTTCTGATTATTGAATAAATGGATGAAATATTATTTGATACATCACGAAAAAAAGTAAACAAAATATTTCAATTAAGACAATATAGATATTGGGCTTAATTGTCTGAATTCTTTTTCAGCCAAAGCTCTCCCAGATTTCAGTATACTACACTGTCCAGGCTACCAGGAATGTCATATTGCCTAAAGAGCATAGTTTAACAACTGCTTGTTCAATTAATTAAATGATAGAACCATAGAATGTTTTGGATTGGAAGAGACCTTTAAAGGTCATCTAGTCTAACTCCCCTGCCATGGGCAGGGACATCTTTCACAAGATCAGGTTGCTCAAAGCCCCATCCAACCTGGCCTTGAACACCTCCAATGATGGGACATGCACAACTTCTCTGAACAACTTGTTCAATCTAAATCTACTCTCCTTCAGTTTAAAAACATTGCCCCTTGTCCTATCACTACAGGCCTTGATAAAAAGTCTAAATCAACCAAATCCTTTCTGAGGAAATTACAGACTGCTAGATTTCAATAGCTATAATGAATTACAGAAGCCCTGGGGGAACAAAATAAATATACTTTTATAGTATTAAGGTTATATAATCTATGTATTTGCTGTAAAATGGCAGCAAGGACATTTGTGTATAGAGGATCCATTTGCAAAGAATTTAAACAGATGATTCCTCATATGAAGACTTGAGAAAAGTAAATATTCTTTTTATTAATATTTTTAACAAGGAAATCCTGCTTGTTAAGTAACTGAAGTGTCAGAAAACAAAAAAAAGTATACATAATAAGAAAGCAAATGTGCTCATAAACTTGGAAAAGATAATATAATGTTCTGGTAAGTAAATCATGAAGATCCACCTCTGTGCTGTTCCATAGGGTACGTGATTAATTATCTGTTAAAGAGCTATGGCTCTTCAGATACTGTAACTCATTTTTTCAGTGCTGGGGGTTCAGCCACAATTTGGCTGCCAAGGTTGTGCCAAAGATGGTAGCCATCAAACAAAAGAAAACTTCTTATCTGGGCTCATATCATTCATATCACTGATGTTCTTATACACTTGGAAATGTTGCAGATAAGAATGTAACTTGCTGATGAGCGTGTAGTCCCATTTTATGTCACTCTTCAGGCAGCATGATTTGTCAGAGCTGCAGCTTGTAAGGTAAGGCTGATCGTAGTTCTTAGCTCTGACAATGATTTCATGTTGTCCTGTTACATCAGCAATAGAATACACACAAAAATGAAGAGCATGTGGCCTCTTTCATCCAACAGCTGGGTAGCTATAGCTTTTATTGTTTCCCAAACCACTACTGAGAATAGGACATCACCTGACCCACATAATTCCTAATTTTGATTTGTAGTGATAGTTGAAGTGTTTCTGCAGTTTGCTAAAAAAAAACCCAGATAAGCACTAGCTAGTAATTAATTTTTATTCAACTATTCAGTAGGGCGAGTGTCACCAGGGCCTACTCAGTTCCACTCAGCTGTGGTCATCTGAAGTTTCTTTCTGTCAGTCCCCACGGGAGGAGAAATGAGAACACTTATGATCCTTTAATACAGTTCTGTTCTTTTCTAAAAAAATTTCTAACATGGTAAAATAATTTCATTGGCCTCTCCTGGTGTTTATGTTCTCAGTAATTCAAGTTCATAGCAACTTTTAAAGTCCTTGAGAAAATAAGGATTGAGAACATATGGAAATAAAGGAGATAGAGAGCACTTTCCTATCTAGAGTTCCTCATTCTATATGCAAGACATATGTATTTCTTAAAATGAAAAACATACAAAGACCTTTCTGTCTGTTATAATATTTAACAGAAGACTATAGATGTACAATATGGCGCATATATTGTCAGATAGTTAGACAACAAACCACGGCTGGACTACAAATATAAACAAGAGGCCATAGACTTTTAAACTGCTCTTTATAAACAAAATAATTATTTTAAAATAAGTAAAATTATAGATAATAATAAAATAATAATATCATAATAAAATAATGCTGCATGAATTCTTTGTTTAGGAACAGTAGGGTCTGGGCACCATAAAAACTGAAGTCTACTGACCAAAAAAATACAGTGTAAGAAATATCACAGCAAACCACCATATATTTTTTCATGAATGTGTCTAGACCTGTAGCAACTATCCTTGTGGAATAATAATTCAATCACATGCATCTCAGAAGAGGTTGGAATCATATGGCTAATTAACATCCATGGTGATGATTCTCTTATGAAAACATTCATCTATTGGGAAATGGCATTTCTAAGGCAAAACCTCCAATATATTAGCGTGTCTTGCCATCACCTTTCAAAGGTAGCACTAGTTCAATCCCACTGATTAGCACATAAAGCATGCTATTTGAGTTACAGCTCATTTAATCTAATGGATATCTGGTTCTTATACATAGAATCAGATATATCTGCCGATATATTCAGTGTCTCCAACTTCCTCCCATTATTTATATATTATCTGCCTTGGAATGAAAAAAAAGAAAGGTTTCACTTTGCTGATACCTAGTGAGATACATACATGCAATGGGAACAGAAAACACAGACATAATTTTATAAATACTTCATCTATAAATTATACTCTGGAATGCCTCACTAAAATTTGAAAGAAATTGGAGACTCTCTTGACTTAAGAGTAGAATTGATACTCTCTTCCTCTTACTGATCATTATTATTCATTGTTATTTATTTACAGAACTATTAAGTATGTGCTACGGTCTGTGGGCTCACTTGAGGAGAGGATTGCTTTTGGACAGTTTAAAAAGAAATCTCTAATCCAAGGAACTTAACAACTGGTAGGTAAACAGAGATGAAGCAGTAGAGTGGACCATATGATCAGAGACAGTGCCCATAGTGAAATCTCTATTACCTGTTAGTATTAATATGAACACACAAAAGCAGTAGGAAGTAAGTGATCACAGATAAAATAAATTGAATAAGAAAGATTTCTCTCACAATAGCACAGCTGAGATGGATGTATCTAAAGTTAAAACAGGCAAGAACATCTCCCATTTACTGGATAAGAGAGAGAAAGAGAGAGAAGGGAAGATAGCTTTGTAGACAATGTCAGATTCTACCTTATACTTCCCCTCAACTCTTAGGAAATTCCCTGATCTTGCTAAAGTATATATATCCAAATTCTTCTCTAAAAGCCAGCTGAAGGTTTGAATATATAGAATTTTCAGCCTGTGAGACTGATGTCTATGATGTACACTTTAAATATTTCTTATCTCCATTCAAATTTATTTTTTTAAAAAAAAAGCTAAGTATTTATGGTTACTTTAATTCCTTACATACACAGTTCTTGATAATTTTTCAGAATTAAATCATGTAGATAATTAACCAATAAATGCTAAATCAAAAATAATGTGTAATATATAAAAAAGAACAATATATGGTAGTGAAACAATAAAGGAAAGAAAAACATACTACTGAATTAAAAAAACCCCAGGCATTATCTACCATAAATTTAATTGTTTATTATACATGTGAGCTATTCTGGTCTGTCAACAAAGGGCTGTTGAAAAAGTGAACAAATAAACTGCACAGTAACTAGAAATCTGAGTTGCTCCTTTTTCATCTGTTAAGTCAAAAAGTACAGAGTTTCAGTTCCTAACTAGGGTGATTGGGAATCAATTGAGATTTCAAATATTTTAAGTATTCTACACACACATATACATGTAAATTAATACACCCGACTTGTCAACAGTAAAGCTTCAAAGGCTGATCTTCAGAGCTACACTTACAGTCAAAGTTCTTAAAATGTTGGTTGAAACAAATGAAGTTTCATTGATTTTTAAATATCTTGAGATCTGAGGTTTTCACTTTGTCTTTTCACCAGAGAATATTCTTTAGGCAAAGTACACTGGTGATACTTCATCTTGTCCGTACTTCACCGCAGATTCAAACTCTTTGAAGCTGATGTGGCCATCAGAATCCTGATTGACTTCTCTGTAAGAGAAAAGAGATCTGCTATTTAAGACCCAAAATACATTATGTAAAACAGACGTTATACTTAGCTGTAGATATCCAACACCAATAACTGAAGAGCTCAAGTCCTAACACTTGAGTTCTATATGAAGAATTAATGAATTAAAAAATGCTTTTTGTGTACTGCATCTCATATGAGGACCTCAAAGCTTTTTAAAAATAAACCCAAGTATCATTATGGTGTTGAACAGGAGGTAAAATATGACTTGTGCAAATTTAGCATTTTTAGCACAAATTTAGTTCTTACACCTCATCCCTAATTCCCCAAATCCAGTCACCTGTAGCAGAGATCCTCAAAGTTCCATAACTCTACATGCAACCGAAGATCTCTAGGTCTTAAGGTACCACAAATTTACATTTAAAATTTCCCAAAGTGCCCCATGACCTTCCACATGCTGCAAGCATCTTATTTTGAAACAAAGATTATGTTAACAGAAAACCTTTTCCTTGTGGTTGTAAGGGAAAAAAAAGCCAATTTGTACGTTAGTATATGCTAAAGTGGATATTCCTATAGTATAAAAAAGTCTCTGAAAGTAAAAGCTGTTAATAATTATTTCCATTATATAAACTGATAGATGATTCAATTAATCCCATTAACACAGAAAGCTAAATTTTATCAAATACATTCTGCAAAATTATTTGATGCAGTTGTAACTTGGGCTGACAAAATATATTCTGTAAAGTATTTGTCTTAGTTCTGCCTAGATTTCTTCCTAGAAATACATTATTATATAAAAATTAAAATTAAATAATTAAAAATCTGATATCAATGCACAGATCCTAATTTTATTCATAATCTGGAATTAAATTTATTATTATTACTGATAAAATTTACAGAGGACTCAAAGATTGCTAAAATTATAGTGCTGTAAACTTTGCCATCACCATTAGTGTTCAGTAGTATTATTCCTAACATTTTGCAGTGTGCAAAATGGGATGCATCTTCTACATGGACAAAATTGAAAATTTCAAAATAATTCATGCTGTTTAGAAGAGACACATTTTATTATCCTTTGGATGCCCTGGAAATTTCAAAGAGATTCGATACCCTGAAGAAGTAGTACAGTAATTCAGTTTTAAAGAAAGCCTCACACAAAGGAATAGGATGTCCTCTTTGACACTTATTCTAAATGTACTCCTGAGAAAAGCTTAGTAAAGGTAAAAGAAAATAATTTATTTACAACAGCTTCAAATACAGAAACACAGTTACAAAGGTTACAAAGACTGATAAAAGAAAACAGAAAACTTCTTACATCTGCCTATCCTTACCTCAGCTGCAAGCAGCTTCTCTAGATTATCCAGCTGTCGAGATATCAATGACTATCAAATCATGGGACTGAAGAAACATTTATTCTGAAAAAAATACTACATCTTTAAGTTTGTCTTCACAGAAGAGGGTCTTGATTTGGAATATGTGCTTCCCCTTTACCTGAAGAAATACTATTTAGATTGAAATGTTACTATTCTTCACTGCAGTAAAAATTATTAATCTTCATCTTTTTCAAGAGTCCCTCAGACTACCAGCTTTCCACCTCCTTGGAACTTTCAATGTCATTTGGTAAGATTCCTCTCATCTCTTGGCAATAAACAATCTGTACTACTGTTTAATAAACTATTAATCAATTGTGAAGTAGACTTGGTCAGACAAAGTTCAAGCCTCATGGTGCAATGATGAATCTTACATGGACATAAACACATGAAATTATACCCTGTCATTATGGAAATATTTAAATGAAATTAATTCCTTCAGCTCATCTTTGGCTCTAGAATAACATTAAAACATGATGATATTCTATTGCTTTTCAGGTCAGGACAAGTTTGAGATGATGATCACCCTTAATCAAGTCTTTAGGAACAACATGAAGCTGGAGATGGAGCAGTCAGTCAGTTTCTTGGTGAAAGGGATCCTTTCAAACACCATGTTACAATACAAAGGAATGCAAACTTATTTACCAGTGAAGGATGAATGCAGGTCATAATTACAAAATGAAGATGTTGTCCTGTAAAGTAGTGACTGAAAAGGTCTAAGAAGTCATAGAAAGTAATCAAATGAAGATCATCTCCCACTGCAGTGCTTTACATAAGAGGGTGCATATGATCCTTGAAGCAGGATAATATCTAAAACAAATACAAGACTGATTTTATTTCAAAATACAGTGTTAGAAAAATTATGAAGGAAATATTGTGTCTACCTCCTGGTGCCCACAATTTGACAAGGATACTGAAGAACTTAAAAGAACCGAGAAGCTACAGTAATTGTACAAAATCTGGAAAACATGCCTTATAACAAGACATTAAAAAACTGTTCAAAAAAAGTTTGGAGGACTGATACAATCACATCAAATAACTATCTCTCTAGTGAAAATATTTCGGATAATAAATATCTTTTTAAGCTTACAAGAAAAGCCCTGATGTTAGGCACAAGTTGAAGCTAAAGCTAGAAAAATTATAACTTAAATAAGGTGTTGTGGTTTTTTTTTTAAATGAGGTTGATGAGCTATTGATGTAACATCTAGGGATATGGGAAGTGATACTTCCTTGGTTTACCCTCCCTTGGTGTATTCTCTGTATGTTCAGGAGTTTCCTAAACCACATATGTATGTCTGCATATAATTATTCATGATGTATATTTATTGCATGGATTTTCTAACAGCTTTTTGAACTGACATGGAGACCATGGCTTGAACACCTGCTCTATGATTAAGTGCTGCCTCTTATTTGTTTTGAACCTGCAAGTCATTTGATACTCCTTGTAGTTTAAGTACCCTTCTCAGTGACTGCCACTAACACTATCAAAGGGTGCATAAAAGCGATCTGTTTGTAAAGATCAACCATTAAAGCATTTTTTTGACAAAAAGCTTATTTTAATGATAGGAATTATTATTATAACCTATGCTATTTGCAAGTAAATGATTTAATTCAAAGAAAATGTACAGATTTAAATACCTGAATGTATAAAAATAAAATAGCAAAATATTTTTTTTTAATATTATGATGTATTCTCAGAATTTAATTCTGGAAGATGATTTTATGAGTGTTTTAGAAGCTAGTGCTTACAATCTGGCTAAACTGAAGTTAATGGGAGTTTTGCCATTAATTTTCAGGAAGCAAAGATTTCAACCAAAATATCTGAGTTACAGGCATAATTCACATATTTAATGTGATTTATCTTTAATGACCTCACTAAGGGCAAATATTGCCTGACAAATTTGGTGGTCTTCTACAACAGGGTTACAGCGTTGGTAGATAAGGGAAGAGCAACTGATGTCACCTCCCTGGACTTGTGCAAAGCATTTGACACTGTCCTGCATGGCATCCTTGTCTTTAAATTAGAGAGACAGAATTGATGGATGGATCACTCAGCGGATAAGGAATTGGCTGGATGGTCGCACTCAAAGAGTTGTGGTCAACGGCTCGATGTCCAAGTAGAGAGCAGTGACAAGTGGCGTTCCTCAGGGGTCAGTGTTGGGTCTGGTGCTGTTCAACATCTTTGTTGGGGACGTGGACAGTGAAATTGAGTCCACCCTCAGCAAGTCTGCCAACGGCACCAAGCTGTGTGGCGCAGCCGACACGCTGGAGGGCAGGGATGCCACCCAGAGGGACCTGGACGGGCTGGAGAGATGAGCCTGTGCAAACCTCAGGAAGTTCAACAAGGCCAAGTGTAAGGTCCTGCACATTGGTCAAAGCAATCCCAAGCACAAATACAGGCTGGGCGATGGGTGGATTGAGAGTAGCCCTGAGGAGAAGGACTTGGGGGTATTAGTGGATGGAAAACTGACTGTGAGCCTGCAACGTGCACTCACATCCCAGAAAGCCAACCGTGTCCTGGGATGTATCAAGAGAAGTGTGGCCAGCAGCTCAAGGGAGGTGATTTTCCCCCTCTACTCTGCTCTCATGAGACCCACCCCCTTCTGCAGTACTGTGCCCAGCTCTGGGGCCCCCAATATAAGACAGGCATGGACCTGCTTGAGCATGTCCAGAGGAGGCCACAAAGATGATCAGGGGGCTGGAACACCTCTTGTACGAGGAAAGACGGAGAGAGTTAGGGTCGTTCAGCCTGAAGAAGAGAAGGCTCCAGGGAGACCATATAGTGGCCTTCCAGTGCTTAAAGGGGGCTACAGGAAAGATGGGGAGAGACTCTTTGTCAGGGAGTGTAGCGATGGGACGAGGGTTAACAGTTTTAAACTGAAAGGGGGTAGTTTTAGATTATATATAAGGAAGAAATTCTTTACTGTGAGGATGGTGAGGTGCTGGCCCAGGGTGCCCAGAGCAGCTGTGGCTGCCCCCTCCCTGGAAGGGTTCCAGGCCAGGTTGGACGGGGCTGGGACCACCCTGGGCTGGGGGAAGGGGGCCCTGCCCGGGGCAGGGGGGTTGGGACTAGATGGTCTTTAAGGTCCCTCCCAACCTGAACCATTCTATGATTTTATTCTATGATTATATTCACTACATGTGCCTGTTTGGAAGCTGTTCTTGAAAAATGACCCTAAACTTTACAAGGTGTTTGTTCAAAAACATGAAAGCCACTAAATGACACTCTGACTTATGAATCACTTTTTGAACAACTTTTCAGCAGAGATTAGCAAGATATGTTGAGTGATAAATAAATGACAAATCAACTGGTAATTAGTTAGCTGTTGTAACCTGAAGAAACACCACATTTATTTAAATGTTATGGATTTTTGGAACCTTGCCAAAAGTAATCTGAAAGCAAAATGGCGTTGAAGTGTTAAATTTTCATTTTCATCTAGCTGAAGCAAATGATATATTCATTCTTCTGATTATGAAATACTATGCCACAGCATATTGATCTTTATTTTACAGGTCACTATTCATTTAACATTCTTAGTAAAATATATACAGATATTTCAAGGTATGTAGTGCCTCGGGTAGATTGTCTGATCTTTCACTGAAAATTGAGTAATAATCACCATCACAAGTTACTGACTGAGATATAAATTATT